GATCCTATTATAGCAGAAACCCTAATAGCTCTTTTAACAGAAGAGATGCGTATGGATTACACAGCCTCCTGCTCTGATACCAATTGTTGAGATTAAAACTCTAAAGATCGATAGATTCAAACAGGTAAACAGATTAAGAACAAGGAATGAATATCAAATGTAATGAATGATTAAATATCACAGCCTTAGAAGAGCTCAAATAAGAACTGCTACTTTAAAGGCGTGTAGGGTTTACAATGCAAAAGACGATTACTAATAATAGTGCATGCATGCACCTTAAATAGCTAAACCCTAGATAATAAATAACGGATGGACAAGCCCAACCCGGTTACATAAAATACTAAACAAAAGGCCTATAACGACTCAACACTTTAAACTCTAACAACAATCATAAACTAAATATGACAAACATTTGTCTATCATAAATTTACGAAATACATTTACAACATACAATTACGACATACATTTATAACAAAAAATTACAGCTGGCATTTTGTATGTCATAATTTTATAATTTTTTTAAACACATGATAGTCATCATGTGATATATAATTACGATAGACCATTTGTATGACATCATTTTACATTTTTATAATTTTTTTCAAGAATTACTAATATTACGATTAAAAAACACATATTTATTCTCTCATATTACAAAATAAAATATCATACACAAAAAGATAATCCATTGCACAAAATATAGTGTCAAATACAAAGAATCATTTCAACGGTAAATAAATATAAAAGATAATCCATTGCACAAAATATAGCGTCAAACACAAAATATATTGTCCAATCATAGGATGCTAGATGACTTGGGATGCAGCAGAATAAAGTCTTAGGGGGAGTCTGGATTGAGTGATTCATTGAAGGAGGAATATTTATTGTGTCCTCAATTGGTTGATCCGATTTCATTTTTACACTTCATACCACTCCACTCTAAATTTAGACTATGAAAACTATAAAACTCATACTCCAATAAAAAAGTGCAGCCATACATCCCACTAAAACGCCCCTCTCACATATGCCATCTGAGTAGGATTGTAAACGAACTGAACGTTCGGCGAACTGTTCATGAACTATTCGATGGGAAATATGTTCGTGTTCGTTTATTTAATAAATGACGAACATGAACAAAAATTCTCGTTCGTTTAGTTTAACAAACGAACATGAACAATAATCACGTTCGTTTAATTATGTTCGTCAACGTTCGTTTACGTTTGTTCATGTTCGTTCATTTAAGTTTATTTATGTTAATATATGTTCAACTATTTTGTATTACATTACTATAATATACATTCATTTATGTACATATATCTTCAATTGTGTTTGTTTATCTTTATTTGCTTATGTTCGTTAATTTATGTTCATTTAACATGTTCATGAACATAAACAAACAAAGATGAACAAAGTAATTTTTTAAATGAACGAACATGAACAATAAAAATCATTTGTTTATCCGTTCATTTTCGTTCATTTGTTCGGCTAACTTAAACAAACGAACATAAACAGGGCATTCATGTTCGTTCGGTTCGGTTTGTTTATAGCCCTACATCTGGGTCCTTATGCATAATTTTAGAAATTATATATATATATATATATATATATATATATATATATATATATATATATATATATATTATCTTTCTTCCAAATACTTATTTGTCACCAATTGGATAAAAGTTAAATTTACCCAAAAAAAAATAGAAATGTAGAAGGATTATGTTAATTTTTATACTAACATTAAAAAATAATGTCGCTCATAAAGCATTTATCCAAATTTCAAAAAACTTGTTTTTTATTTTTTCTTTTCGTTTTTGATAAGTCAACTTATCCTTTCTAATTAATGAAGGTTTTTTTGCCACTTGTCACTTTCTCAAAGCTTTTGCCACATGTCATTATATGTGTAACAACGTAAATTTTCAAACCAATTTTTTTTTCAAATTTAAAGCACATTTTCCTCAATTCAAAACATCTCAAGTGTCATAATATCAAATCATCAAAACACATATCCAAAAACTGTATGTATAGCAAATCCAGGATCCTCTCAAAACATGACTCAAATCTCTGATGTGTGTACAATCAAGCCGGTGCCTTCCCGTGATCCTGAGAAGTACCTGAAACACATAACACATAACACGGTAAGCATAAAGCTTAGTGAGTTCCCCAAAATACCACTCATATCTCATCAGCCTCTCATGGCTATACTCATATAAGACCCTCTGGTCAAATTTGTCTCAATGGGACCCTCTGGTCCCACAACTCAAGTGGACCCTCCAGTCCCTCAACTCAGCAACTCAATATAATACATATCATACATATCACAAAGGCAAATAATAGGATATCTCAATACACCGTATATGCATATAAGATCCTCTGGTCACACATAGGTTACCACTCAAGGTAAGTATAGTGAGAAGACTCACCTCGTAAAAACTCGGATAATCTCGAACTCGAATCACCGGTCTAGCCTCCGCCTAACACAACGATAACAATCCCTAATTAATAAGTCTCTCACTGAAGCTAAACTAACCCTTCTACAAACTCACAGAAGAGAAAAAGACCATTTTACCCCTCTATGGCCTTAATAGTCCACAAATTGACCAAACCCTAAAAGTCAACGGCAGGGAGTACGTTGCGCGTACCAACTCTCTACGTTGGGCGTACTCGGCTGCCATGCAGGCATCGGGGATGCTCGACCCCTACGCTGCGCGTACTGGAATTACGCCCAGCGTACGTCCTAGTTTCACCCTACTCACTCATTTGATCTTAATCGTTAAGTCCTTGGCTCACATCACAGATCTGGACTCCCTATTAGCTCTTACTCCATAAAGTCAGTGACTTTAAGCCTTTGCATGGTTGGAATTGTCACAAACACACAAAACACTCACTCCCTTTTCTCAACAAGCTCATAGCTCTTGCATGGCTTGATACCAACGACCAAGATTGGATTTTTATGGCATTACACCACAAAATACACTCAAAGGGGGTGGATCATAGTCTCTGGAGTACAATATCACATAAAGTCTCCATCTTTTGGGACCAAACCCTAAAATACCCTAATAGGATGCAAAAAAACCAAAAGAATGAAAAAACTTTGAGCTTTATACCTCAAAGTGAAGCTCCACACTCAAATAAGCTCAGATCCAAGGCCTGAAATCCCATTCCTTCTTCTTCAAGACTCCTTCTTCACTCCAAAGAAACTCAAGAATGCTCTCAATGCTCTCAAATGCACTCACAAGCTCTAAGAACGAAAACTAGGGTTTAGGAGGGTTGGTGTCTAAGAATGGTGGCCAGGAATGAGGCCATCATATCCTTTAAATAGGGGACTCACCCTAAATTAGGTTTTTCACTATGGGCCTAGTACGCCCAGCGTACTAGGTGGCTTCCGCGTCAAATGCACGCATATGAGTACGCTGGGCGTACACTCGTGTACGCCCCGCGTACTCATCCACCACCTTTTCTCATAAAGGGACTAAAATGGCGAATTACTCAAATGATCAAGGGTTACGAAGTATACCTGGACTCGGGATGTTACAATATGAGATTTTACATTTATTTACATTCCACATGTCATTATGTGATATCTTTATTATTTTATTGATCAATAATCAATTCCACTAATTAATGACTCTACTATTATATATGTAAAGTATTCATTCTATTTAAATATTTATTAATTTACAAATATATTTGAATTCAAATGGATGCTCTAATCACACAACTAATGTCCTGTATTTAATGGTATATTTGAATTCAAAACATACCTTTAATTTTTTGTACTTTTAACTTGAATTTTAACAAAATTATTATTTATTCAAATTTTATAAATAAATAAATGTATAATACATCTCTATCTCGACCGTAATAAATAAAAAAGAACACCATCTTCAAAGAAGTATTTGAAAATTTTGATTCAAAACAACTATTTACTATATGTCAATAAATTTTTTATTAGTATAAATTCAATAGCTACTTATTCTTCATTTCGTTTGTATTTATTTCGAAAGTTAATTTAAAAAATATTTAATGTTTACACCTTAATTTTCAACATCATTATTTAAAATATATCAATAGTTTTTTATTAGTATAGATATAATTACTTATTCATTATATCGTTCGCATTTTTATGTAAAAGTATTTTTTTAATATTTAATATTAATACATTGATATTAAACTTTTATTTTTAATAAACTCGTGTAGTACACGGGTCTCACACCTACTATATTAATATATGAGAGAGAAAGATAAAATCTCAGTTGTTTATATGAATGAGAAAGATATACGTCAACTTATTTATACTATATATATATATATATATATATATATATATATACACACACACACACACAGAGAGAGAGAGAGAGAGAGAGAGAGAGAGATGAATGATCATTTGAGAACTAACAGTTTTCCGAGAACTAAAGGTTGAACTTTAGATCAAAATAACCGAAGGCTATGATTAAAGATGGCATTTTTGTAAATAAGCTGAAAAACAAAGAAATGGGGGCATCGAAATTAAATGGCATTAGGGGTATTTTAGGCTTATATAATTTAACTCCATAAACACCTCTCCTAATCACCATTCCCCATCAGACCTCACACACCCACTCTCTCTCTCTCTCTCTCTCTCTCTCACACACACACACACACACATATATACATATGTTTTCATTGTTTCAGATCTTGATTAACAATTGATTCAGTTTTAATGGCTGCTGATCATCAATCGGCGAGCGCTTCCTCGCCTTGTTTCATCTTCACTTCAATGGAGGATAACGACCATGAAGACAAATGACCCTAACCTATCGGCCATCGCAACCCTACCATTGCAGCGCTAGCACCAAATCGGAAGTCACATGAAGACATGAAGACTACTTTGAGCCCTAAGGTCTCAAAATTGCAGGTTTGAATCTCGTCTCTCTCCTCTCAGCGTATGGAATAATAGAATCTGTAAGCCCATTCTCTTATTTTCATCGATTTTGACAGTTCAAGGGGATACAATGGCCAATCAGATGCCTGATATAAAGGAAGCATTTGGAAAATACTCTAATGATGGGTTCCATATGAGTTCCGATCAACTGCGATTGTTCATTGAGGAGTTGCAGGGCGGCGATGGTGCCTCAATTTCAATGTATCTAATCGATTCCCGAGTCTCCGTTATCTTATCCAACATAACAAACTCCATTGAATATGATTTGACCGTGAGTTGATCCATCTGTGACTATCGATAGGTATGTTACCCGTTATCTTCAAATCTTAGTTTTTTCTATTCCTTTTTTCTCTTTTAACTGAAACTGTTTGTGTGTTCTCTTAATACTCTTTCAGGTTCAGGACATCATCTGTAAGTTTTCTAAAAAAGGTCTCACCCCATCCTTGATTGGCGTTATTCTTCATGATCCCATGGTATTGCTCAGGTGAATAGCCTAACTAGGAACAAGATTCTTAGGATTCTCAAAGCACATGGTAAGCATTATCATTCTCTTAATCTTATTGTTATCTTAATGTTATTCTTTCATTTGTATTAATCTGTTTTGTTTACTAATTTTACAGGGCTTGCTCTAGAAATCCAAAAAGGATTTATACCACCTGATCAAGAAGACACATGCAACTAGAAAGCACTTAGAGAGGAACAGGAAGGATAAGGATTCTAAATTCAGACTCATTCTTGTTGAAAGCAGGATTCATCGTCTTGCTCCCTAATACAAGAAAACCAAGAAGCTCCTACCAATCTAGAAATAGTTTGTTCTCCATTCTAGTTTTTCTATAAAAAAAATTATTATATCTGCATTCTTGAATCTTGACACATGTGCATGTTTTCTAAGTGTTTCATTAAATCATCTTTTTTGTGAGGCACTTAGGGGTGCTTCACTCAAACTGTAACATGTCTTGGACTTATAACTCCTTTCTATTGGATTAGTGTCTAAGTCCATAACAACAATTGGTATGTTCTTGACTCGAGAGTAGCATGGTCCATTTAGGTTGCATATCACAAGGACAATTTGATAGGATGGACTTTTGAGAAGAGGTTATTTATGATTTGTTAATATATTGTAAGTCCTAATATATTAATATGAAATCATATTATTTAATTAGTATTGATCAAGAATTAGTTTGGAATTAATTTTGTGATCAAAAGAGACTAATTAAATAAATGGGGATTGATTTGGTAAATCATTCATTCTTATAAAGTGGGTTTGTGATCCATAGTTCTTTATGTTGGGCTAAACTCATGTGGTGAACCATGGATACTCCATGGAGGTTAAAACCCATGGAGCCTAAGGAATGTGGAAATTCATGCATATTAGGGTTTGCATGGTGTAACCCTAATTAAGCCACACTATATAAGAAGCCCCTTAGCCTCCAAAATGGTGCACTAGCTCTTAAAAAGATCATTTAGCCGATTTTGGTGTGAGGAAATTCTTCAAAAGTCATCCTTTGTCTAAAGGTGTGTTGTGATTCCATTTGAGGCATTCATACTATTGGTGCTAAGTTCTTAAAGGCCAAAACTACAATCTACAACAAAGAGGTAATTATATAACTCATTTCTATGATGTTTTTGTCATTTGTATGCTAATTGTAGGCTTTATGCATTGGAAAGAATATTGCATGTATAATTAGAGAAAACATAGATCCAAAGCATCTAGGGTTGCATGTACACCATAGGAGTGTTAGAATGCTCAAAACCCTTCAGTGGTATCAGAGCCTAGGGTTGTTTTCCATTATACTTGATGCTACTTGTTTTCAAAGCTTGAAAAAATCGATTTTCTGCTTTCTGGACAGTGGACTCGCCGAGTCCACTGGGGAACTCGCCGAGTCCCCTCAGAAAACTGACCAACTCTCCGAGTCAGTTCATGCACTCGACGAGTTGGTTGTCCAGAATGCAGATTTTCGAGGTTTTTGGCTAGAATTGGATTAGGATCATTACCCTAAGCTGTTTTTGAACTTATAAACCTGTTTTTGATGTGGTAATGATCATGCTTATCCAATTTAAAAGATAATTGTAAAAGTTTCATGATTTGTATTAGTTTAAAAGATTAGGCTAATTTCTTGAAACTTGTTTGATATGAATTATCTTAACTTATGAGTTTAATTAGATCATAGGCAAATTGTTTGATTTTCTTATTAGAACTTTTGATCTAATTGTTTTGATGAAATCCATAACTTGTCCTCAAGTTATGGAAAGTGAAGAGTCTCCTTTTTAAATGTCATCTTAAGTGGTTTTAATTCTTCCATAATTTTCCCTCAAGTTATAGAACTTGAAGAGTCTTTTACATAAATGTTTTTATGAACTCCATAACTTGTCCTCAAGTTATCGAATGTTAAGAGTCTTTTCATTAAACCCTATAATTAAACTCATAAGTTATGGAAACCAAAAGTTTTTGAATAGTTCAAAACTTGCCCTCAAGTTTTGGAATTTGTAAATGCAAAGTCTTACTTTGAAACATTTAGTTCCAAACCCTAGAATTTTAAAAGTTCAAAATTCAACCCTTATACTATTATAATATTATAGGTTTAATATTTATATATGTATAAGAGTAAAGTCAGTCTCACCGTTAGTAGGCCTCATTCACGAAGCCGGTCTATAAGGGGGGTATAAGGTTACTGCCTATAAAATGGCAATTTAATGGGTGACCACTCTCACCCACCGCTTCCTTGACTGGTGGAGGGTCGTTAGCCGAACGGGTTTGACAGGACATTTAAATTCTCATTAAAAGTATAATGAAATACTAAGTAACTAAACACTTATAAATTCTCAATCTTAGTTACTTAGGAAAATGTGAATTTGGTGTTAACCCATGAAATTGCACTTTGCACCTTGTTAAGTCGTTAGTGGAGCGTGTGTGGTTAACCGGCACACTAATTTGGGACTAAATATGTCTGGAAAAGGGTTGCTTGATGTTAATCATATATCAATGGAGCGTGTGTGGTTAACCGGCACATTGATTAGGTGGTTGTAACATTGAGTCTACCAAGCTAATTTGTATGGTTATTCACACCTTGTTTGTGATCCTCGGCATCCCAGTTACAAACTTGAAGGGCACAATCGAGATTTAAACATGGCATTGAAAAGTTCAATGAATCTCAAAGGATCTAGGAGTTTCAATTCAGTTAAAACCTAAAATTCTTTTTTGTTTTTCGTGGTGGAAATTGGTAAATCGTCATTTACCTACCTTCAAATATTTTGCATTCGGATTACGGCATCCCTCTTCCGAATTGTAAAATATTGTGTTGGGTCCTTGCCTTAATATTTCATGTTGGGTGTTATATTAAGGACTAAAATCAACTAACTTGAATTTCTCCCACTGTAGATGTCCAGTTCAAACAACGATGGTCTTCCCAAATCTTTTGGAACAAGCTTTCCTCTTAAAGATGATATCCCACACGACGATCAAGGTGAAAGATTAATCCCTTTGTCGTGCGTTAGTGGAAATGGAAATCATACTTCACTTCCTCCACCTCCTCCAACTATTCTCCCTAACCCACAAGTTCAAAGACTTGAAAAGTTCAAGGTCACTCAAGCCCTATTGCAATGAAACATCAAGATGGAAGGCATGTGTGTACTCATGTCTTCGAGATGAAGGTACATATTGACAGGCTGAGAGCATTGGGTGTCATTGTCTCGAGGAAGTTGGCTGTTGACTGGGTTCTTCATTCACTTCCTGAGTCATATAGTGAGTTCATTAAGGACTACTATGGGACAGACAAATGACATGACCCTTATTGATCTTTCCTATTTGCTTGTTGCTGCTGAATCAACAATGATTTGGCGCACTGGAAAAGTAAATTTGATTGGAAGATCTACTTCTCAAACTTCCATGGACATTGACAATGGTAACATTGGAAGTCCAGAAAAGATTTCTCTTCCCAATGGAAAGGGATCGGCCATAGTCAAACCGGTTGACCAAATGGTAAAGAGAAAGGCTAAGTCTGTGATTGCCTCTTGTGCCAATGCAAAAGAAGCTATTTGTTTCTACTGCCATTTGAAGGGGCATTGGAAGCGAAGCTACCCTGACTACCTGAAAGATCTGAGAGAAGGTAGAATCAAAAAGGTTTGACTCTGCTTCAGGTAAGTCTACTATCTGACTCTATTAAGTTCCTAATTGTTGATTCTTAATACATGATGTGACAAGGTGGCATTTTGATGTTTTGTAGGATCATGCAAAAGGATGGAAGCTTAAAGGAAGAGTATGCTAAATCTGGTCGCGAAGATGGACTTCAATCGCGTGGTTCGATGATCGGATTTTTGAACTGCTGCTTAAGAGTTATGATAGATTGTTTAGAAATTTGTAATAGCATAGTTTTCATTTTTAATTGCATTGTAAGGAAAAGTTTTTCTGCATTTTATAAATAATTAAAATTTTGTTTTTATTTTATTATATCTCCTTGCAATGGAATTTGTAAAAAAATGATATTTCTATGTTTCTATGTTAGCAATATGAATTTGATTCTTTCGTTTGTGGAAGTGTCGAGAATTTGCCAAATAAGGAAAGATTCTCATCACCCAAGTTTCAATTGGATAGAAACTTGGAATCATGCAAATTGTAGTGTGTAATGAATGAGAACCTTTACCTTTGGGAAATTACGACTAATTCCTTGTTCAGATGTATATGTGAGTCAAGTGAAGGACTAGGGGTCGGGTACACTGGGTGTGCACTGGTCAGGTCCACCTCAAAGAACGATAAGACTATTCGTCATGATTTACTAAAGTTTAGTAAATATGGTTATGCTTACAATTTAAGTATAATTCCAAATCATTGGAAAAAGTTCAGTGTATGGCAGAACGAATAAGAAGAATCAAATTAGGCAGAAAGATAAAAGTTTCTCCAATCTGAAAAGATGGGAGAGTACTTTAGTATCGTGTTTTATGATCATCTTAATGATTATGGAAAACCATATCACAATTAATCCTATAAGGATATCTTAGTGTATTTGTATGGCTAAGAAGAGGAATCGTGAATTGTTGAATGGTTAAATCAAAAAGGTGAATCATACTTCGTTCCAAATCGAGTCTTAGAGTCATACTCCAAGATTGTGCCTTGAGTGACATAATCTTAAGGAAGGTTTAAAACACTCATCAAATGTAGAGTAAAAAGTTTCTTACTCTTTTACATTTGAAATTGGTATGTTGTGATGTCTTGGTAAGTATAAAGACCAACTAAGGCCAATTGTGTGAAGTGTTAGTCTTGATTAGAATCTGCACTAACTCTTGAATATTTGTGTGTCAAGGAATGGTTCATGACAAGACAATCTTATATGTCAAGAGGCCAGTGGGAGTCTTAAAGATCTTGACAAGTTTCAAGAACTAATCAAGAATAAACCTATAGTTAATCACTAGCACACGACTTGAGGTTTATAACCTATCGTGTTGACATGCTCTTGTTTCTGTGCCCATTCCAGTTAAGTTGACTATGCATGTGAGTTCTATGAGTTCTCAGTTGTTTGCATAACAACCTGGAAGCAATGGTAGGCCCTTGTGCTGCCAGGTGGCAAGAAAATAAGATTGAACAAGTTCAGTCCATATGGTTTGGATCTGTTACTAACCTTGTCTTGTGATTATGGTTATAACACATTCACATGGATAGGAACACT